CGACCTCCCTGGAGGGAAGCTCCTTCCCTCCGTCCGTCGCCCCCACCCAGGCGCATAAACCACGGTGCCGGGAGCATTTGCTCTAGCTCCCGGCATCTCACTCGGATAGAACTCTCTGCCTCTGGGCGAACCGGGTTCCGAGCGCCGCTCGCTCCTGGGGCCGGTCCCCGTGCTCCCACGGCGGGGGTCCAGTCCGGCGGCAGAACGTGGCGGTCAGCGCTCCGGCGGTCCGCGCTCCCAGCCTGGGGGTGCTCGGGTCCCCACAGGAAAGAACTGACCGACGTTTTCCTGACAGCGCTTTGGCTCATCCAGCTCCAGAAACCAGGCGACGATGTGTCTGTGTGAAGCCCGGGGCTGGTGGAACCCGCGGGAGGATGCATCACCTGCGAGTTACTTTCTAGTTACTTTCCGGGGCCAAGGGGACGTGTGCTGCTCAGTCCAACTCTGCGCGTTTGTTTCCCTCGGATGCACTTCCTGAGCAGACCTGCTTCGGGCCGCAAGTCAGGGCTTTTATGTAATCCTGTTAACACTGGGGAGACCGCTTAAATGATTCGTTCAATCAAAGTTAACAGGGTGACATTTTTGAAACGTGAGGTGTCTGGGAAAACTATCATTTGACTTCACCGTGGGACGGTGTCACCAAAGGATTCGATGGTGACTCTGGTGCTGTCACGGGGAGCCGGGGCTGTCACCGAGCCGCCACGTCCCGTCCCACCTCTCGCAGCCGCCGCCGCCCTTGCCCAGACAGTGTGCAGCCAGTCGTGCGTCTGCCGTCTCCAGCCGGGGAATACCGGGGGCGTAAGGCTTCGAACCGTGCGAGACTGCCATTCCCGTAGGGATGGAAGAACCACACAATCATTGCACCCACCCAGAACGCCCTTATTTGTACTGTATGTATGTTGTTTAAAGATTTTATGTATTTTCAGAAAGAGGGGAAGGTAGGGAGAAAGGGGGAGAGACACATCGACCAGTTGCCTCTCGTGAGCACCCCGATGAGGACCGAACCCACAGCCCGGGCCTGTGCCCTGACGGGGAACAGAGCCCACGGCCTTCGGCTCTGCGGAATGGTGCCCAGCCCTGAGCCACACCGGTCAGGGCCGCATTTCCTATGTTAGCATGGCTCCAACTGTTAGAGTCCATCCTTTTGGGGGTTCCAGGTTAAGTAATCACTGTCTTTTCCTTTTTAAGCGTGACTTTGCAAAAATAACCCCAAGCAACACGATTTCTAACAGGAAAGAAAACGGGGGTGGGGGGGCTGGGGGAAGCTGGCCCCCACCTCAGAACCGAAGATCTGGGCCTCTGTGTCATCAGGACGTGACTTTTTAAAAGTGATGGGAGAATAAGTCACTCAGCAAAAAGGGCTTCTGTGTATGCATTCCAGAGGCAAGAAGGACTTACGATGGATGCCCCAGAGCACGCGCAAAACAAAGCTGTCGCTGCCGGTGAAATGGGGGCTCGGGACTTGCCTCCTCCTTTAAAGACGAAACCCCTCCCTCCCTTCGCGGCAGGCGGAGGGACACGTCGAGGCTGGAAGACGGCGGAACCCTGACTCCATCTCTCAGAAGCCACCGTGTTCCCACCTCTCAGCCGAGAAGCGCCCTCGGTTTCCACGTCCCAGTGGAAGCGTTCCTCTACCGCCTAGTGCGCTGCGCCGTGACCGTGCCCGGGGTGCGAGGCCGGCGCACCGTGTACGAGGCGTCGGCACCGCACGCTCTCGCCTCCGGCCGCAGGCTTCCCCTTCCCTTCGCGCGTCCGACCGGCTCTGCAAAGCTCTCCGCTTCCCGGCAACAGCGCCCTGTAGCGGACGCACTCGAGGGCCGGTGGTCGCCTGTACAACAACGTGTGACCCACTCGTTCTCCAGCAGAATACTACCGGTCTCCAGCGCACAGGCAGGCGTCACCAGGGCGGGGGTGACGCGCGTGCCCTGGGCGGGGACAGGGAACCACGGCCAGCTGCAGCGCAGGGACACACCCTGAGGCTGGCAGGGGACGGGAAGCCGAAGTCAGCGCTGGAGCATGGCTCCGTGGCAGCTCAGGGGGCCCGGGGAGCGGCCAGGGTCTTTCAAAGAGAGGATGCTGCGGAGTCGGGGAGGGGCAAGGCCGGGACGGGAAACGCTGTCACTGGCAGGTAACCAAAGCAGCGCAGCCTGTTTGGGGGGTGTGTGTTGGGGGGGGGGGGGGTCTGGCCAGGAAGGGGCCTGCACGCCCCCGTTTTCTCCCAGGGTTTATGGGAGGCTGACGAGTTAGATGCAGGGATGCCACAGCCCGATGTCACCTGAGAACACTCTGGAAGCAGGGAAGAAGGAAGCAGGGCCCTGAGGAGGTTGCTACGGCGACGGATGCACTCGGGGAAAGACGGGGCTGAGCCAGGGCAGCCACAGCCGAGCGTGGCGACAGAGATGGGTTCGGACAGCAGGAGGATAACCCCTACTGCGTGTGTCCGCTCAGTGACACAGTCGCGGGGCACACACGCAGAGTTCGCTGCTGCGTCCTCTGGACTTCAGGCACCGCCGCCGCCAGCCCTCCTCTCGCCCTGACTGTCAGAACCACCGCGTCAGATGGTGCAGACGGAGGAGCTGGTCTCCCCGCCGCCCTGGTCAGTACAGCGGGGGGCGGGGGGGGCTGGGGGGCAGAAAGGGGAGGAGAAACGATGCGGAAATGGGATGCTGCCCCGTCCCGGCAAAGGCCTGCGTCCCTACGGCCCCGGTCTGTGGTCCTTCACCGCCCCGAGATCCTGCCTCTCTCCGAGATCCTGCCTCTCTCAGCAGAGAGCCCGGTTCAGGGCCAGCCCCCAGACTTCCCGCCGGCAGCACCTAGAACAGGGAGTCCTTGGCGGCGGCGTTCACTCCGTGAAGCGCTGTGGGTCTCTGCGGAGCCGCGGGGCGGTCTTCCCCAGGGGGCCATGCACGTGCCGCCGGTGGACGGGACTTTAAGTGACTCCCGGTCCGTAGTTGTGTGTGTTTGATGTGTGTTAAAAATATACATATATATATATATATATATAACTCGTCTGTCGTAGCCATTATTTCTGGATGCTACTGTCCAGAAGAGGTTGGGTCTAAAACGTCGGTCCTTGACAGGAGAGCTCCAGATAGGAGAAAAATTACTGTAAAATGGGGGTGAGCAGCTCAAACCTGGCAGAGCCCCGATTCACGATGAGGCTGAGGTTGGGGGCGCGAGGTGCCCGCTGGCAGAGGCTGGCTCTCTGCCCACCCTGGATTGCCCTCCGCTCCCAGTGCTGACGGCCAAACCCCACCTCCAGCCCCCCCGAAGGAAAAGGGGGTGCGCTTTCTCCATGCTCCTTCTCTCGGCTCTCCTGCGGGGGCGGGGGGGCACGAGAATCCAGGGGAGGCTCCTAGGGAAGGGGGTTCTGCAGGAGCAGAGGCCCCTCTCCCAGCCCGCGCTGGGGAGCGATGAGCTACAGGGGAGAGATGTCTTCCGTGTGACGAGCCACAGGGCTTCGGTGCTGGTGGGACTCGGCTCACAGCCGGACTGGAGCTGGGCCCCTGGTCTCCGGATGGTCTTTATCAGAGGCCGTTCCGGCCCTTCCCTGAGTTTGCCTCCCGGTTTCAGCTCCCCCGCCCGCCCCAGAGATGAGCTGCTGAGCCCCTGAAGCCACAGAGAGAGCCTTTTGGACTACTCATGCTTGACGTGGGACTCGGAAGGCCGAGGTAGCACCTCCGCTGGGCGGTGTGTGGAGGATGTTCTGTTTCACTGAGGACTGTACACCGAGGAGAGAAAACTCACGTTCGGTCAGGCTGAGCTTAGTTAGACGTGCCCAGGCGGACCCACGAGCCCCGTGGACCGGACCGCTCTCCTCCTGCTCCGTCGGAGGCTGGGGCTGCGCGGCGGGCACCCTGGCAGCAGCTGCCTCTGACTCCCAAGTCTGCAGCGCCGGCACCACCCGCTCCTAGCAGCAAGGGGCTCTGTGTGCACAGCTCCCACAGCCGGTGGCTGCAGAACCCAGGCTCCCGCCACGGGGACGTGAGTGTCGGACACGTCCCGAGTGGCAGGCAGATCCACGAGCTGGACACAGAGGCGGCCGGCCCCGCTGTCTACTCGGGCTGCAGTCCTGAGAGTGCCGGGCAGCTGACGGTCTACTGCTCAGGTGCGTGTTCAACAGCAAAAGGAGAGCGTGTGAAACTGATTGCGTGGAAATAGCAGTTTAAACTGATGGGGGGGATGATGGGCGGCTCCAAAGTCGGAACATTGTACTTTAAGAAATGGCTAATGAGCTTAGCAATCCATGTGTGTGAAAGCTGTTGTTCCAGGCACTGAAGGGGGACCCCCCCCCGACTCCGGAGACCACGAGCAGGTGCACCTGTGGGCCCCAGGAGGCCCGCAAGCCAGCATGCTGCTGTCCGAGCCGCCGTGTGCCAGGACGAGACGCCCGCCGCCCAGGACACAGATGGAGACCCCCCGGGTGAGCACGCTGCGGGTTTTAGACCCAGTGAACTTCTCCTGGAATTCCACAGCCCTGACCTACGCCTTGTTCTCCCTATAAAAAAGGACCATTTTCAAACGGAATTTAACATGGTCTGCTAGGGTACAAACCCTCTGGCCACCTGATTCAAGTGCCCATGAAGATTCAAAAAAACAACAACAAAAACAAACAAACAAACAAAAAAACCCCCACAAAACCCCAAACTCAAAAAGCCAGATTCAGATGGAGTGGGCGGCGGCCCTCCCGGGAGCCTGAGAAGGGGGCGGGGCCACACGGGGCTGGCTCACACACCCCTTCACTCTGCCAGGTTCGGGAGGCTGAGGCGGAGGGCCTGCAGAAAAACGTCTCGGGGCAGGCACTGACCAAAGAGGAAAACCTCCGGGTCCCTCGGAGTACGTCAACCAAAGAGGGCGCCAGGTTTTTAAAAGCCACGTGGGGGAAACCTTGGGACAGAGATGACATGTATCGCACTCGCAACTCAGCTTCAGGTGAGGGCGTCACCATGGCGATCAGTAAACCAACCCGACACCTGGCCAGAAGGTAAGCTGTTTATTCTTTTAAAAGTGTCAGACTATTTTACAAGCTACTACATCTAAGAGAACCTGAATGCATTTACATTTTCTAAAAATAGGTCGTCTCTGTGAAAGCGACCCCAGTTGATCCGATCTGCGGAAACCCATGGAAGCCGGGATGGTCCGCTGGTCCGGGGGCTCCCTCCGCAGGCGCTGCAGCCCCGCCGCTCACTGCAGGGGGAGGACGGCCGGCGGCTCCAGCAGGGACACGTGCAGGTACCTGCAACGGGACCCCGGGCGGCTGAGCGCGAGCCCAGACTCCGGTTCCCTGAAAGCCAGGTGAGGCCACAGGAAACGCTCTATGAGATTCCACAGAAGGAAGGAAAGGAGCCCTGGCTGGGGTGGCTCAGTGGACAGAGCACCGGCCTGCGGACCACAGGGTCCCTGGTTCGATTCCCAGTCAGGGCACAGGCCTGGGTTGCGTGCCGGGTCCCCAGTAGGGGGCGTGAGAGAGGCAACCACACATTGATGTTTCTCTCCTTCTTTCTCCCTCCCTTCCCCTCTGTCTAAAAATAAATAAATCTTAAAACCAAAAAAAAAAAAAAAAAGAAAGAAAGAAAGAAAGAAAGAAAAAAGGAGGACAGCCGACTGTGTGTACTAGAAGCTGACAAATGACCAGTCTGGGTCCCTCCAGACTGATGGTGTTGATCTAACTTGCAACCTTACTTCTGCAGCCTCGCCCCAGGTGCAATGTGCCCTAGTTTTGATTCCGACGTTGCCGCGACCTGTTAAAGCTTCAGGGCTTTGGACAGCCAGCCCTGGGGAGAGGGCGCCGGGCGCTTACTTGGAGGCCTTGTACTTCTCCCGGACGGCTTGCTGGGGCCGGCGCGGCGCGTCCAGGCAGGCCCTGTGCAGCTCGCTCAGGCAGGGCCCGATCTCGCTCAGCGAGTAGCCCGTGAAGGCGGCCAGGGTCTCCGGCTGGCGGGGACAAAAGAACAAAACCGCATCCATCACGCACCTTCCCGGGGCACAGGGAGTCTGAGGACCAAACGGTGAAACAGAGGGAGTTAACCACGTACTGTCCACACTCACGCCCAAAGGAACCGTAATCCCTCTTTGGACGCGTTAGCCACAAAACCTTAGACAGCGCGGCCCGAGCTCTGAGCGCGCTCGCGCTGCGCTGTACTGACCTGCACGCCCGGTTCACACAGAACACGGAAGGTTCTCTGCTGAGTGCAGAACGAGAGACAGTGTTCTGGAAAATAAAGGCAGGCACCCCGCTTCTCTCGGCGCGAGAGAGAACCTTCAGGACCGAACCGAGGGGCCCGTGTGCAGTCCCGCCACCGTCTTGGGCCGAGAGATTCTCTCCTGCCAGGATCCCGCCCTCCGGCCACCCCAGCGGAGCCAGGCTGTCCGCCGCTTTGAGGGGGAAGTCAGCAGCTTTCCCGGGCCGGGGCCGGAGCCGGGGCCGCTGCTTCCGCTGCAGGAACAGGCCCTCCCTGCCTGAGAGCAGCACCAGGCCGCCAGACCCGCTCCCACCCAGCGGGCGCGCCCACGTGCCACCTCCTGGACTCCCCGCGCCTGCCCTCTGCGCAGAGCGAGCCACCGGCCCAGGCCACACCGGCCGTGGTCCTCGGCCAGCGAGACCCAGGAGGCCGGCCCACCCTAAGCCCCGGGTGGTACCCGGGGGGTTTCACAGAGGCCTTGAACTTCACCTAGAGAAACGGCGTCGGAGGCTCACCCAGAAGTGCCTGTTGACGGTGTAGTTCGCCAGGCAGTAGGCCGCCGCCGCGATCAGGGAAGGCAGGTACTTCAGGAACGGGTCGGCCTCGAGCAGACTCAGCTCTGCGACGTACTGGGGACGGGAGGGGAGAGCCGCGCTGGGCGGGGACCGGGAGGCACTGCGGCCACGAGCCAACGGGAAAACCTCAGGGGGCGAAGGGCCCTACTTCCGTCCAGCCTGCATCACTGGGTGCGCAGCTGACAGTCACTCACAGCTGTTCACGCGGCCGGCGACCGCCGGGCCTGCCCACAGCCAGGACAACACGTACACGGTCACGGATCTCAGCGCACACGCACTTGGCCCGAGCACACGGCGTGTGGACGGGTGGCTTATCTCACGCTGGCAGTGCAGGTGCACCACTCTGGCCACGGGGGCGGAGCTACAGACGTCAGCCAAGGGCACCCTAGGGCCGCATTACAGCTGCGGGTTCACCGGGCAGCGACACGCGGCCCAGAGGCGAGAAGAGCACCAGCGGGGCTGTGTCCGGTTAGAGGAAACACGCTGGGAAACGCAGGTGGACTTCCTTATCACCGCTGGCACGGCGCGGAGGTACCGGACAGACCGCACCACGGTGGCAGAAGCCACGCCTTCCCAAGCGATGCTTCGGTGCCGTGGGCTGTTCTGTGGCTCCGGGTGACCGAGTGGGGCCGCCTCACCTCACGTGTCAGGAGGGGTCAGGGCCAGATCTGATCACATTTACTCTGTTCCTACTCTGCACACCTCCGAGGTGTGGCTCGCACGTGCTCTGCACCCAACGGGGGAACCGTCTCCAAGTCGGGGCTCGGGGATTAGACAAGCCGTGACCACCAAATCAGGGTTGCTAGGGGCGTCGTGTGACCACAGGCCATGTTCTTACAGTCGGTTCTCTCCCACCACCAGGAAGTTCTGCTGGGCCCACGACAAACCACAAACCCCCCCCGAAAAGGCAGGAGGAGCCGAAGGATGGCCGGGAAGCCCACCCCCCACCCGGACGTGGGGCCCACGCCCCGGGCCGACCCGCGCGGCGCACCTTGGCCAGGTTCTCGGTCCTGCCGCACACCCCCTGCCGCCGCAGGTACTGCAGCAGGAACTGGTGGGCGGTGGGCACGGTCAGGTCGAAGGCCAGCACCTTCAGGAGCAGGTGCTCCATCCTCAGCAGCTGCCGCTTCGTGTACGTGTCGTCTGTTATGTAGACGAACTCGTCCACCTCGGGCGGGTAGATCTCTTCGTACTTCCTGCGGAGGGAAGGCCGAGAGCCTGCGGCGGTCACGCGGGAACCTGCGGCCGTGTCCCAAGCCGTCACCCCTGCATCACCTGGCTGCCACCGCAGCTGGGGACGCACAAACTGGGGCGGGGCTGGGAGAGGACCGGGGACTTGTTTCCGGAACGAGAACATGCGTGCTACAAACACGTGTTGTACCACCGGCTAGGGACAGCGACAGAAACCCCTTCTTCCAACCAGGAGTCTCAGGTCTGGCCTCTCCTAACTCAGACCCTCTTGTGGGAAAGGATGCCACGTGGACCACGTGGCAGGAAAAAAATCCCTTAAGTCTTAGATTAAAAAAAAAATAGATCGTGTTTGGCTTTCTCTACTGAACTAGCAAGTGACGCTGTTCATCCAGGAGAACGACAATCATGAAATCTCACAGTTACCAGTTCTTTGCTTTTACTTTTACTTCTCCTTTCTGCAGGGAAACCCCGGGCGTGTTTTTAGGCAAGTCAATAACTAGAACATCTGAGGCCAGAGGAACAGGAAGGAAACTACTGTCACCAGCAGGTCACTCGCTCGAGGCAGCCCGGCCACTGCGCACCCTTCCCACACCGGTAGGTGTCCCCAACGCCCGATGGCAGGGGGGACAAGCTCGGACAGGGAGCTCACTGCAACCACACAGACCGCGGAGTGACGGCCGAAAGGCAGCCTGCATGGCGGCTGCGGTCAGGGAGCTGCACTGGTCACTGCGCGTCAGAGGCGTGTGGCTGAGGAATGAGCGTCCGGTGAGACTCAGTGTCTCGGTCAACACGACCAAGCTAGGACCGTCTGTCAGGGGGCGTGGCGAGGTCTGCATGACAAAGCCCGGCCTGTCTCAGGGAGTGGGAGTGGGCCCTGCGTCTCAGAGAGTGGAGAGTGGGCCCTGCGCTCGGGAGGGCGGGGACACCTGCCGTCGGTCGCCCAAGCCACAGGTCACTTACGCGGCCAGGAGGATGGCCGCCGTCCCCACGAGCTGCAGCTTGCCTCTCAGGACAGACATGCAGGACAGGAAGCGGTCCAGGAAGTTGACGGCCAGGTAGAGGGTCTCGGCGCGCAGCTGGTACTCCTCGGCCACCTCCACCAGCCAGTCCACCAGGATGCGGCGCATGCCGTCCGTGATGTCGGGCTGCTTCCGCAGGTAGTGCGCCTTGGGCCGGTGCCGCGTCTGTGGGGCGGGGGTGGGGGGGCATTTCAGAGCTCAGGCCGGGGCTCCGGCAGACGGGTCACACGTCACAGGACACCTGCCGTGTCGCCATCTCGGGGGCAGGGGGCAGCAGGGGACTACCGGGCCCAGGGCCAAGGTCATCTTTACGAGGGCACCGAGGAGGGTGTGAGCTCCGGCTCTGGACCGTGCTGGGTGATGAACAGCCTGAGGGTGTTGGGGGGGGACACGGTGACACGGACGGCCCCCCAGAGCGGGCACGCAGGGCACAAGCCCGCCCAGCGCCTGCTGCTCGCCCGACAACCAGCATCGTCAGGATACACTCGTGCGCCCTGAGCGAGCCTCTCCTGCACGCGTGGGCGGGCGTCTGCAGCCGCCTCCTGCTAGGTGCCAGGCGGCCGGAAACGGGGGTGGGACTGGGGGGCGCCCACCTCAGCCTCTCGCAGGTACTGGTGGATCTCCTCCGCGTACTCCGCCACGCTGATCACGTCGGCGCCCCAGTCGGACGCCGCCTCGGCCGGGGAGTGGAGCGCGGCGTCCACCAGCATGGGGGACACTGCGGGGAGGGGCAGCTCGCAGACGGTCTCGGCCCACCACCGACCGAGCCCCCCCCGCGGGCCGCCGTGGGCGCCGGCACCGCTCTCCGGCTGGGGCCGTGCAGCCGCACCCCCGCTGACGGCCGCAGGGACCTGTCCCCACCCCCACCTGCCCGCCGCAGGCGGCCAGCTCACCGGCGCTGAAGTCCAGCAGGAAGTGCAGGTCTGACTTCAGTGCGCTGGTGTCCACCTCGTACGTGTCCCCAGAGGCCGCCCCGTCGCTGCCAGTGCCGCCGGGGCCGTCCTCCGGCTCGGCCATGTGGACGTCGAACCCCGCCCTGGCCGGGACGTGGGCCCCGCAGGCGGCCTGGGCTTTCGGTGCGGCCGCGGGGAAGGCATTCTCCGACCCCGAGAAGTACCTCACCGTGGGGATCCCCTGGAAAGGGATTGCGCGTCTTGTTAGAGGTCCCCCGGCCCCCTGAGACCAGCAGGCGGCATGACCCTGTGTGCCTGTGACCCAGCGGGCTGGGGGGCCGGGAGGGGCCCCAGGTCGAAAGGCCTGTGTCTGCCATGCGGGGTCAGACCGCGGGGCTTCCCAGGGGTCGTGAGTGGGGGCCTTCTGCGCTGTCTCTGTCTGCGTGCGGCGTCTGGGAGAAGAGCCGTCTGAACTCCGTCATCTTCCTCACACTGTCTGTCACCAAAGGGGACTCGGGGCCAGAGAGAAGGACGCTCTGACTCCTTCCCATGACGACACGGGCCCCACGCGGGAGGGGCTGCAGTGGACTTCCGGGCCTGCGTGGCTCCGGGGCTCCATGGGCGCCCACCCAGCTCAGCCCAGACACATGGCTGCCACCCCATAGTCCTCCTCCGTACGTGGCGGCCTCTCGGTCGGCAGCCCCTGCAGAGCTCCCAGGGCACACCCAGTTGTGGAGAAACAAGGCGACTCTAGGAGCTCGGAAGACTACAGTCTCTCGGCACAGCGGCTTTCTGAGTGACAGGACGCTGAGACCCCCGGGAAACCTGATCCCGTCCAGCGGGCGAGTGAGCGCGTCCCCCTTTCCTTGACTCCTGCAGCACCCACGACGGAGACCAGGGGTGCGTGTGCCCCTCTGGGAACGAGCGTGGTGTATCTCACACTCACACACACATTTCGCACCCCGGGGTGAGGCACGTGGGAGGGACCGCAGGACAGCGGGGCCCGCGCAGGAGGGCGAGCCTCAGGAATCCACGTGGCGGGGGTGCGCAGCTGGGTCTGCCTGCCGTGTTCCCGTTTCACCGTGTGCGACTACTCTCTGTGCCTACCGCTGAGACTCTTTCTCGGTGACGGGTCCCCACAGCTTTTCCTGCGCACCGGCAGGTTCAACGTGCGGCCGGTGTCTACTCCGGTAGGAAGAGGGCTCTCCCTGGCGGCACTGGAAACCTCACAAAACCTCACAAGCTGCTATAACCAGATGCTCCCGACTCCACGTCACGGCCAAGGCCGCCTTCTGCTGCCTCGGCGCGTGTGCGCGTGGGTGGGGGCGTGCACTCCTCGCACGCTCACTGAGCGTCCGCCAGGCGCCAGACGCCGCTCCAGGTGCCCCGAAGTTCGCAGCGAACGGAGCGTTCCAGAAGAACGGCCCTGGTGGCATGCCTGTTCTAGTGGGGGGAGGGGAGACCCCGTGGGTCAGGGAGTGGGAAGTGCCTTGGCGCAGAGTAACGCCGGGAGAAGACCGCCCGGCTGCTGTAAACAGCGTGGCCGGGGAGCGCCCCGGTGAGGAAGACTCTCGAGGAAGGCTCGGTTGGGCGGAGGCCTGGACAAGCCAAGGGGCCCAGGCACTTGGGCCGCCGAGGGGACAGCCTGGGCCGGGCCGGGCCGGGCGGGCGCCCTAATGTGCGAGGGGATTTGCCTCCGGGACTCGGCAGGGAGCGGGCGGCGCAGAGTGGGACGGGGCGCAGAGTTGGACGGGAAGCCAGGAGGAAGAGAGACGCCAGGCCTCGCGGCCAGTAAGCCGGGCGAGATGAGGCGGTGGGACGTGCCGTGCCCGGGGCGGCCACCGCGGGGCTTTGAGCCAGCGCGGCCGGAGTGGGGGCGAGGAAGGGGCCTCCCTGTACGCCGCACACGGCAGAGCTGGCAGGGTTTCTCCGGCACGGTGGACGAGCGGCGGGAGGAAGGAGGGTTGAGGACGACGCAGAGCCCTCTGGGCTGCACAGCAGGAGGGACGGATGCTCCGTGGCCTGGGAGGAATGGACCGGGGCGGGCCTCGCACGAGTTTGAGATGCCGTTTGCACGAGCCAAAGCTCCAAGCGCAGCTGTCACGTAGGATGCAGAGTGTGTGCACGCGTGCGGGAGAGCCGAGCGGTCCCGGTCCCGGCAAGAGACGAGAGTGCGAGCCAGCCGCAGATGGGTGGTGTCTCAGGCTCAGAGCCTGGAAGAGATCGCGGAGGGAGGGAGGGAGGCAGGCGGTGCAAACTCAGACCACATGCCGGGCCCCGGAGCGCTCCAACTTCCAGGGGCTGGGCAAGGAAGAACCGGGATCGGCAGCAGGGGTGGCCGGCGAGCCACGGGGGAAAGCCCGGACAGAGTGCTGTGCTGCAGGCTGGGCCGGAGGAAAACTGTTTCTAGAAGTGAAAAACGATCCATCGCGTCAAAAGGGAACTGGAGAAGAACGAGAGACAGAGAAGATTCTCGCAACAAACACCAGCACGCTCCCCTGGGCCAGGCCCCGGTCAGAGCCCCGGGAGCCCGGCAGCGACCCTGCCATCCCGAATCTTCATCCCGGTGGCCCTTATAATCTAGCGGGATAAACTACGCCCGAAGAAATAGTGCTGCAAAGAGACAGACACGGCAGAGAGCTTCGTAGTTGGAAGATTTTTCAGATGGAAAAGTTGCATTTATGTACGCTTATGGGTTTGACCCCGTAAAGAAGAGAAAACTGGGGAGAGAAAAAAAGAGTCGATTAACATCCCTGAAGAGGCAAGAGGGCGTAAGGCGTTCGCACTGGGAGGGGTTCGCCTCGTGTAAGAGCAGGGACCTGGGTCGCGCTGCGGGGTGGGCATGAGGCGTATGTGGCACCTGGGAGCACGTGGGCATCCTCTTCCGGTTGCTTTTATGTTTTTAGGAAATTAGGGCACAAAGCCTTCGACCGAGGTGGGGGTGGAGGCGGGGGTCGTGGTGGGTCAGAGAGAGGAGCGGAGGTGCAAGGCAGGTTCCTACGACGGCGGCTGCGGAGGAATCGGGCGGGCAGCACGGAGGTCAGACCCGTCGGCGAAGGCGCCGCCGCCGCTGGCTCCCATGAGCCAGGTTTAAAGAAGTGCATGCGTCTGCCGCTCCGTAAACGACATTCGCTAAAAACAACCTCACTCCGCTTTTCCCAGAGCCTTCCACAGAACACGCTGGGCATTTTTCTCCCACTAATCACATGCCCCCAAAAGGCCCGAGGGGCCAGCTGACTGAGTAGGTGAGGGGCTTCTTTCCAACGGGCCCTCCTCCAGTGTGCTCCCGCCCCCACCTCCCGGGCCTTTCCGAAGCCCCTTAGATTCCCTCACCCACGAAATGGAAAGGAGACCCGCCCGCCCGCTCCGCTGGACGATATCACCAGCTTCATTCCATACAAACGTGCCACACAGGCTTTCAGACGCACTGGTATCAGGAAGTAAACTGGTAAACAGGCTTGGGGAAGCTTTTTTTTTTTTAAACCTCAAAATCCATTCTGAGGCATCCACACTCCTCATCCGCATTTCAATGTCTGAATTTAATTTCAACCTGTTAAGGGATCCGTTAAGCAATGTCTAATGGCCAGTCGTCTGTTTGCCCAGCTGCCCTTTGTCGGTAGTGGGGAGAGTCTGCTTTCCAATCACGTTCGGAAATAACCTAGTCCAGACCGACCCAATCCCGACCGGACGCTCTCCCCAATCATCTCCGCAAAGGCCGCCCTGGATAGCTGTGGGGTGGTCTGCACCCGGCTCTGACCTGCAGTAACCCCGGCTCTACAGTTTATTGGAGGGCATTCACATTTCCTTTTAGCTTCATCCAACGTATTCACTATTTCTAGCTGGAAAGGGGACCCAACAAGATGATCTTAAACTGCTGTGTCCCAACAGTCCCGACCCCAGGGCTGGAATTCTCCGGGGGAGTTTGTAGGCGGAACTGCAAGCGAAGCCCATTTCCCGCCGCCACAGGAGAGCCCTTCCCCGCCAGCAGCGTCCCAGCGCTGCTGCGTCCTTACCTGGCCGCTCCGGTACTGCACATTCTCGGTCAGCACCCCTAGCACTGTCCTTTGCGGGGGGTCCTGGCCGAGCTGGGCTCTGGTCGCCATCTGACAGGCATCGGGACCTCGGGACACCGGAGCCAGGACTACGCCGCTCTTGGAGCTGCTGAGATGCATCGCCTCGGCCTCGACTGGCTGCCGTCGGCAGGGAAGGAGAAACGCAAAGTCGGGTGAGCCAACCCCTTCCACCGGAGGCTCCCAGGGATTGGCTAATCTCCAGGAAGGGGCGCACCCGGACACGTGATCTTCCCGGCAATTGTTAGGGCCCAAAGGGCCTGGGCCTTGGGGCGCCCGCGATCGACGCTGCTTTGCCCTTATAACAGCGACTTGAGTCGGCCCACGCTTCTTCCAAGACCTGGTAGAGGCCGCAAGGCGCGGGCAGCCTGACAAACCTCCAAGCCGGGATACCAGGGCCCCACTTTTCTTGGGGGTCTAAACCTACAGCCCTAGTCTTTTCCGCTGCAAGGCTAGCCCCCCCGCCCCGCCCGCAGGGGAAAGACCGCGGATACTTCACTGCGGGAAAGAACGTCCCCTTCCCAAGGGCCAAGCAGGGGTCGTCCTCCAGACGGAAGGCCCCACCTCGGGCGTCGCTCCGCTCCGCCTTTGGTCTAAACAGGTCCCGAACAATTAGCAAGTGCACTGTCGGGGCGGGGCGGACTGGGAAGGAGGTGTCGCCGCTGTGCGGTGGGGGGGCGGGGGCGGGAGGGGACACGCTGCAGACAGATTCCGGCGGGGGCGCCGGACTCCCAGCGGCTGCAGCCTGGGGACTCAGCGCTAATTACTTTCCTCCCCACGCCCCCCGCGTCTGTTGAATCAGCCAATCAGCGGTGCTCCCGGGCCCCGCGGCGCCGCTCCCATGCCAACCGCAGCGGCGTGCGCGGCCGGGGCCGCGTCACCATGGCGACCTTCTCACCCGTCGAGCTCCCGGCCGCAGCTCCGGGATCACTCTGCCTTCAGGACCCCACGGGGCCAACGGGCGGCGGCTCCCCGCTCCTGCGCCGCCCTGCCCGGCGGGAGGTCGCGGTCCGCACTGCGCCCCGCTGGCCGGCGCCCCCGGCCTGGGTGGGAGGAAGGCGGCCCACCCCGCGATGGCCAGGGCTTTGGAAGGGACTGTTTACGCAGACCGGTTCTCCCAACAGCCGCTAACTCCTCCCGCCAACGTCTTCCCCGCGGCCCGTTCCCGAGAACCTTGGCTCGGGAGGGCGACGCGGGGCCCCGGCCGCGCTCGCCGGACGGCGTGGCTCGCTCTGCGGCCCCGGTGCACACACCTGCACATCCTCGCACAGAGGGGCCTCGGAATCGCGGCTCGGCCCCAGGTAGGAGTCGCGGCCTCCTGATCCGCGGTGGCGCCGTGCCTTCGGTCATTTTGGGTCTCTGAGCACCAGAGGCAGCGCCTGGGCGCCTGGATTCCAGTGCACGGGACCCGGCAGGGAGGGAGGGTAGATTTGGGGATTTAGGGCCCCACGTGGTGCTCGCAGTGCCCACAAGAGGTCTTCCCCGACGGGTCCTGGGAGCCACTGCGTAAAGCCGGCCCAGGAACGCCGAGCTAGTGGCCCAGGAAGAGGAAGGAACGCGGGTGGCGCGACAGAGCCTGAGACTTTGGCGGGGGGGCGGGGGGGGGGAGGCGGGAGGAGGGGACGGTGGGTTGGAGAGGAAGCAGGGGGCCTTGTGTGAGGGTAGGAGTCGGGATAGGAAGGGAAGAGAGACGGTTCTTAACACCTGGGAGCCCTGGCACCTGGCAAACCAGGTAAAAGAACCTTTAACTGCATTATTTTTTCCAATGCAGAGAAAAGCGTTCGATTGACCGGATGTTAGTGGGACGCCGAAAAGCATCTCGGAAGTCTGTGCTGGAGGTAGGAGCAGCGCAGAAACGGGTCTTGTTCAATAGGAAACCAATTTCTGTGCGTTTATCACCGAGTTGCATTCACCGGAAGCGCGTGGGGGGCCATCCCCTTGCAAGCCGGGCATCCATGCCCTTGGCGAGCCGTGCTAACGTGCGGACGGCTGCAGCCCCGAGTCGGAGGCCGGCCGGGACGAAGGTTCTGCGTGGCCGCAAGCCTCCCGAGCGGAGGAAGACGGCGGTTGCCCTCCCCCGCCTCGGCCGCTTTCAGTTTTCCAGTCTTCCCGGGAGCCCTCCCCCACTACCGGCAGCGCTGCTGTGGTTTCTGGAGACGCAGGCGGCTGGTCTGAGGGGTAAAGTCATCATCGACCCCGGAGCAAGTCTTTGCCAAGAGCGGGGGCTGCTCTGGCGGGATAGGATCTCCCTGTGCGCCCCTGGTCGGGCCCTCTCCAGGTCGCTTTTGATCTGGTTTTCCCTACAGAAGTGACCGAAGGCCTCACCCTTCCGGCCTCTTCCAAAACGAAGGAGCCAGTGCAGCGCTGGTGCCTGGGGCCTGTCCTCCTGGTCATCTTTCCTGAGGGCGAAGCTCGAGGTGGGGGAAGGGCAGCTGGGCTAGGGCAGAGGCAGCTCCTGGAGGTTGGGCAACCCCCCCCCCCACACACACACACTCAGATCTGGTCAGGACCCCAGACAAGGGCACTGAGGTGCCCAGGGGCTCTTAGCCGTCTTTGGTCTGAAAATGCCCTTCAACAAGGAAACAGGCAGGCGGACTCCCAGTATTTCATTCCCCCTTCTCCTTAACTCCTCCCGTGTGAGGAGCTGCGGCCTAGGCCAGCCTGCATGCATGTAGAATGTTAGTGTTACCAGTTACCTGGGTGGACGGAAAGGGGGTCACAGAGTAAACCTGGCCGTGCAGGGGAGGCCTGCGGAGGGCCTTCCGAAGACCGGAGGTAACCCCTGCCCCGGGGGGCAGTCTGAACTGACCTCCTCCTGAGAGCAAGTCCGGGCGGGTAGACAAGTCCTCGGCTGGTAGCTTCCTGGACAAAGGTCGGTCTTTACCTGAACTGAGCCTGTTTTGCCTCTATGATAACACACCTTTGGAATGTCCGGATGATTCCCTTTGTCCACCCCCCTCAGGGCACGGGCTCCTACCGGAGCGGAAACCAGGGTTGCTGTCCGGTAATTGTTACCCGGCAACCCTTCTGCACCCGCCTACGTGGAGAAAGCTGAGTCTGTTTTACTTCTTGTCCAGCCCCGGGGGCTTCCCTGTTTTGCTTTCCCCGCCCCCTCCCTAATCGATCACCTCTGGATTTCATGTAATCCCTTTATGTCTTCCCCTTTGATTCTAATGTGTAAAATCAGTGGTAAAACTGCCATTTTCGGTAGCATTTCCTCAGTTTGTTGAGATTTTGCTTCCTGGCCATTGCTGTCGGTTTGGCTCAAATAAACTCATAAAAATTGTTACGGGTCTGGACGTTTCTTATGTGGACGTGTTACCATCTTCTCTCTCCGTCCACTTTGTTAAACTTGGCAAAAGGAAATGACGTGTGGCTTATGATTTTATTGTTGTGTTGCCTTATAATTCACAATTAAATCATTGCAGTCCTCTGGTTAGATCTTAGAGAGTAATTCAGATAAACTGATATATATATATATTTTATGTGTGTACATATAAATTCTGATAACTTGTGCAATACTTAATGGCTTTTTAAAAAATCTTCACTAAATTCTTGAACAAGTAATGAACTGTGGCAGAAAAACAAACTCAGCTGACCAACAGGTGCATAATTTTTATCAAAAAGAAAAGATACTTGGCCTTGTAATTAAGAAAGCTGAGTGGAGGATAGAAAGGACTTTCTCACTAACTATGCAGTTCTGGTGAGATGCATAATTATAATTTTGCTATCGTAACCATCAGAGTTAGAATTCAAAGTAGATTTTAATGTCTGCGTGTTTTATATAAGCTATGTATTTGGTGATAAGAGTATATTGAGATGTGAACAACATGATCATATCTTAATGTGTAACATGTTAAGTGCATCTTCTATATGACTATGACACTTTCTTAGCCTAAAAAACTACTTGGTCCGCACTTTCTGCCTGATACTCAGTGTCTGCTGGTTTTGATGCTACGGTGGCTTTCCATCCTAGGGAAGAAAGTTACATTCCGTACCTGGGGTTTTCTAAACCCAACAGTCCTGTTCAAATGGACCCTCCCCCCCCAATTACAGTAAAGAAAGTCTTTCCTGGTTGTCAGGAACTCACTGGCATTTCAGAAATGTATTACCTTTGCTCATTATAGTTAGTAATTAACCTCCTGTTCAAACATTTCCGTTTTCATTAATTTGTATGAAAAGAAGTTGGTTTTCAGCATCGGGCTAAGAAAGAGATGCAGAAGCAGAAGAGCCATTTTTATTTTTAGGGACAGAGGTCCCTCTAGGGATATATTCATATGTCATTTCTAAAGTCCACTAACAAGTAGTTTTTCTTCTGAGAACACTTTTGTTATCAAAATGATCCCATGCATAATATTACTGTTTTCATTAGTGGCACTGTGGCAGAGTTAAACATACTATTTACATGTACTTATTTTTCACTCTGAATTGAACTCTTGATTAAAACAAAATAACTTCATCACTCTTGATAATCAAGATGAAAAAATGTTCAGGTTTGCTTAGAACAAAACCATCCTCTGCTAATCGTTAAAGAAAGTCTTTCATTGAGGGACTCTATCCAGTGTCACTAGCGGCACTGAGCGCCAACTCTAAATGAGGGATTTCGGCCAGTCACCATTCTGTGAGATCCTTCTCACCCCCATGTTGCAGATGGGAAAACCGTGGGGAAGTGACGGCAGCTGGGAGGTCAGGGTGAGTCCAGCCCAGCGCCCCCAGCACCAGTGGTCCAGACACTCGGCCACCGTGTGTGACGTGCACCACCAGCCTCTGGAGAGGAGGGCACGTGCCACACTGGAGCTGCGGGGAGATATAGGAGTCCCCAGACAGCCGGTGTCCGGGTTTTAGGTTCTTGTGGGAAATTTCCCAGCAACTCTTTCCCTGTTTCTCCTTCCGTGTTAAAACTTTTACTGCTTTCTGCAAGAAACACACAGGCCCCTGCCTCCCCGGGTCTTCCTCTGGTGCATCGTCCAGGGTGTAGAAATCCTCAGGAGTGCCAATGACAACACAGTCCTCAGTACTTTGCAGGAAGAGATGCCCTCGAAACCCCAATAAACCAGACTTGGAAGACTTCCTGTCTGTCTCGGTCTTACCCAGCCACGCTTCTGGTACAGGCCCGAGAAGGG